TTCCCAAAACTTCTTCCTCAATGTCCCTACTTACAAGAAAACAATGTAAATCAGTGAATGATCAACAGAATTAGACCTCGTACCTAGTGGTTATTTCACCTAGATATAACCTAACACAGGGAGAGAGAGAAAAAAAAAAAGTGAGATTTTATAACCCTTTCTCCTGTAAACAAACTATGGAGTGATTATATTCTTTCAGGAGTCTGTGTAAATACACATCTGAGTCTGTGTAAATATTCTTGCACTCTAAATTGTCCAATTTCTATTAGAATTTTACTAAATTAAAATTACCCCTAGACTGCTGATCTCCCTGACTTACCAATTTACTAAAAAATATATCCTTTCTCAAGTTTTCTTTCTCAGTTTGCAGGCCTAATTTCACAGACCATCCCTTCCTCTTACATCATGAACCAGCAGAAAAGCTCTCGAATTACTTTTCTCAAACCACTCATCATTCTGTGTACTTGTGTTATACTTCATCATATCCATTGCCTTTCAAAGGCTAAACAGTCTAACTTTTTTTTTTCCAATTCATCTTCATACAAGGAAATTTTGATCCCCACAGACCCCTCTTTTAGCCTTTTCTCTGAATCTCCTTCTCCTCTACACCCTCCTTTTTAGGGGAGGCATCCAGCACCACATACACTCTGATGGCATACTATATGACAGTAAGATACTGATTTTTACCATAGTATTTTATTCCCTATGCTATTCTCCATCACACTTCATTTGCTCTGACTGTAAATACAAACACATAGAAGTTAACAGCGCTCTCAGAAACAATTCTTAATACCCAGCCTCGTACTTAGAATATGTGACACTATAAACATGTGAAGACTTATCATTTTGAGCCAGGTAGTCTTTGATTTTTTGTCCTTCAGTGTAATTTCTGCCTCACATCTCACCCATTACAGTCTACAAATCTTTGTCATATGCCCATTGGGGTATCTTCCCAGAGAGAAAAATCACTGGTTTACAAGAGAACATAAAAGCACACTAAGCAAAGGTAATTGCCCTAAACTGCAGGTATGTGGACTTTTCACTTTCAGGCCTTCAGTGAGGCATAAAGTATGCTTTGGTGCAAGAACAAGTCTGTAATGTAATACAGCAAACCTGCCCTTTGAAAAATTAGGGCTTAAATAGAAAACATAACACATGAGAAGACAAGAACATTCTACATCCACCTACCCTACCAGAACTACGAAAAACACGCAACATCCCTGAATTAACCTACTAAAATATCCTAAAATATGGCAGATATTACATTAACCCTTAAAGGGTACATATCCAGGCAAAACTAGACAAGAGTTCCCAAGAAAAAGGTGCAATTCAAAATCTGAAATCACACCTGCCTATTGTTATTCTTCTCTGGAAGCTAAAAAACCCAAGAGAATCAAAAGTCTAAGGTTTGGGGTTTGTTTTTTTCCCAGTCATGAACAGTATTGTAAAGTTTAACACTGCCATTTAGGGAAAAACATAATAGAGTGACTGACCCAACTCTCTGTCCTTAAACACTCTGATAAAAGAATAAACTATTTGTGAAAATAACAAAAAACAGCTGAAGGCATTTGGGTGGTTTCAATTTCAGTCCTGTAATACGCAACAGTCCCTTCTTTCTAAATCCAACATCAATCTGCTTTTCTTCGTCAGTAAAGCCTCAAAACATGTTGATAACAAAAGCTGAAAAAAACCCACTGAACATTAATATTACCAATCTAGGACATTTTATTAGTATTCTGATAACTTCAAAGCATTTGATTCATCATACACAAAGTACTCTCACATACACAACAGAACGATGCAGGTTTTTAGAGACTGATCCTTTTTTATTCCCTAACAGCATTTTGAGGGTTTGCATACTTTCACCTTTAAGATGGTGGCTATAATTAGCAGTGAATCATGCTAGATATTTAAACTTTGCGGCCTTGCTTCATAAAAACATGTATCCACCTTATTTCTTTACCACCCTGTTTTGAGCCGAGCAAGACCAAGAACTGCCAGAATCTCATGTCTTGGTGTACGTAGCACTACTTGATTGAAACATCAGCCAGATATAAATCTGAGATCCCAGGCACTCACAGAAAACTGGCAGACTATAACTTCACTCTGGGAGGCTAACCAGCCAATGACAGATAAAAACCCAACCAAAATTAAACTTTGTATCATTACTATTGAAAATCTGGCACACAGAAGACTAACGTATATTCAAAACTACATGTCAGTAACAAGAACATCTGTCCTGGGTTCAGCAGTAGCAGTCATTTTTCCCCTTCTTGGTGGCTGGTGCAGTGCCCATCCCTGTTTTCTATGGTTCATACAAAAGAACCACAAACATATATATAAGAAAAGTGAAGTGGTAAAGAAGTATGGGTACAACAGAAGTTACAGTGGTCTAAGCTGTAATTTGTCACTATGCATCATTTTCAGAACACTGTCCCTAGGGAAAGTTCTTAGAAGAGTAGAGTCCCTTGCAACTGTGCCTTACAACAGATGAATAATGCACCAAGAAGTAAGACAAGCCACCTTTAGGGGGTTGTTTGCTTTGATTTTTGTTTTTTGGGACAGGTAAAGCCATTAAATACTTCCTACAGTTAGTTCAACCTGCAGTTACTGATAACAAAGGGCTTCACGTGGTAGACTGAGTACGGAAACTTTGCTCTGACTCATCTGTCAGCCAAACTCAAACAGCAAAAATTCTCCATGAAACTATAACCCAAAAGGCACCTAATATCCCAAACCGATTTCAGTGATAGGTCCTAGTAGGTCTGGCAGGAGTAGTTTCTTTCCCCCACTACTCCTATATCTATCAAATAAATTTTATGTGCTGCCTTTCCACCTCTTTTGCACTTGGATCTTCTAGCAAACTGTAAGAATACTCCTACCTTCCAGCTTCTTCAGTGACTTCCTGTGATGGAGATACTTCAACAGGGCTGGGATAAATCCAGCTTCAAAGCTCATCTCAGCACATGACCTCTTCTTGGCATTAACCATGGTACTTTCTCTAAACCAACAATCCTGGCCTTAGACTTTCTGGGGGAAAAAAAAAAAAAAAATAGCCAAAGAAGAACAATAAAGGGCTAAGCCACAGAACTAAATGACTGGACACATACACAGAAATTAATATCATATAGCAGCCTCTAAAAGTCCCACTTTAATAAATATATAAATATATTAATTACTCAGTACTGCATAATTTTACTCTTTATATGATCCCATGAAAAAAGCCCTCAACATGCTGCAAAAACAAAAAAAGCTTTTTGTTTTTTCTAAAAAACAGCTTAACCACAAATGAATTAACTGCAATGCATTACAAGTCTGAAAGATGCATCAAGCTACCTATTATATTCTTTCTTTTCCATTTAATCAATAGTTGAAAGTATACTGACAGCTCAATACTGAGCCTGTTTGGTATCAGGACACCAGCTATCAGGCTAGCTTCAGGCAAAGCTTTCAGTACTGTATACCCTTCAAAAATACGCAAGAAAGAATCAATGATAACAAGAATAGTTCACAGTTTAGGTGAGGACTAAAGTGGTAAAGTGGTAAAAGACTGAAGTGACAAACCAAAGATAGATTCTCCTTAATTTATGCAGTTTGGCATCCTTGTTTCATACACACAAAGTACAGTTCCACTACAGTTAGGTTCATGGTGTTTTGATTACATTTTTGATATTAACTAGGAAGAATTATCAGATTAAGATGTATGACTCTACAACTGTGATAACATTTCCTACAACATTTAATTACACTATAAATACCCATTAAATCAGTCCTTTAAATAAATAATGCTTGAATACTACCTAAACTAGGTTTAATCAGCTTATTAAGGACAAACCAGTACCTGCAAATATAGCACTATAAGTCAAACACACTTAAGTAGCAAATATGACATGAAGAACAGCATGACTTCTAGCCAGCTCTTCTGTGTGTTTTCATGAAAGGTGACAAGACCAGTAGTAATAGAGAGTCAACACAATACAAAGAAGAAAGCATTCTCCAAATGCCATTTTAAGCTGAGGGTAAGAACCTTTTTGTTACACCAGCAAGAAAAAACATGGAATCAAAAAATTTATCACAACTTTTTGTTTTCAAAGTTAAAAAAAATATCATTAAATGTCTACATACTATTTTTAATCGTTACATTGTGAAGTAGTTTGCATTTCATTCAACTTTGGTAAGAATGTGTAAATACACTTCATGAGAAAGTGCCAAATTATTATTCAAATACTGCTGCTCTCTTATCTGCCAATGTTAGTCTTGTAAAAATGCATCTTTTAAAATGCATGTTTTAAATTTTGTTTAAAAAGATCTTTTTATGTAAAAACATGTTATGGATCTCTGTAAGTGAATTACAATGATAACATGAAGCAATAAGTCTAAGCAAATAAGGACAAAATCTTGACTGCAAATGAGGATGAGCATAAAACATCTCCTACTGCTGCTGAACACTAATATCTTTCTTGGAAATTCTGAAAATACCGTTTCATTGTTTCAACATTCCATTGGAATATACCCCCACTGGAATATACCCTGTATGACTCTACAGAATTTAAAACAAACCAACCAACAATCAGCAACTCAAACATAAAGACAAAAACTCTCTATATAAGGGAAGCACCTAGATGGCAACTGAATCTTTTCCTTCCTTGACTACATTTAACCAGAATCCTGAAAACAGGTTCTGAAACACTGCGGTAATTCCTCGGTCCAGTTTTACAAAAGCAACAGCATACAAACCTTAGGGAAAGAACACATGGAAACATTTCCATTAAAGGATACAAAGTTAAAGCATATCAGATACCTAAGGCTCTCTGCATCTACTAATGTAACCTGCACTGAACATGTAGCAGTTTACCACAATTGAAAGCAAGTAAACTACCTGTATCTACCACTGGGAAGAACCCCAAGCTTATCATATGTAATTTCTTTGTGTTCAGACAAAGAATCAAAAATTAAAACATTCTCTGAAGATATAAACCATATTCTTTCAACATACCCACCTTATGCATCCTGCTGCTGCTATGGCAAAGAAAGTATTTCATCCATCTTAATTCCTATTAAAAGGAGAACAAAAAACAGTTAGTTGCAGTATCTCAGGATATGTATTAAGCAAAAGACTAAAAATCATATTAAACAAAAAGCACAGGCATACATTTTAGAAAATGGTAAATAAAAAAGAATTCTACTAAAACATGTTTACCCTCAGTACAATGACATCTCCTCTGAGGCTCACCATACATTAACAGTACTTGAGATTACAAATTGCAATAATAAATATCTGAATAAATATTGCTAAAATAAATGATAAAGTTCACACATTCCTGATTTTACCACATACTTTTAAAACTCTGTAAGTTTCTATTATTGCAACAGCAGTAATATTTTCAGCCAGTTCCAAATAAATGTACTTTCAGCATTTGACCGAACAACACCTACCTCATTAGGTACAAATAAATACATGAAACCATCACCAGCTTCATACAGACATTTAAAATATTAAACTACTTCCACAAATCAAGTATTACCTCTGCACATAAAAATCCCTGAAACACCACAAGTCACAGATGAAGAACACTGCTTTCGTCTCATGCAGCACCACTGAACCTGTACATCAAGAACATGACATTCACTACATATATCTGAAGTTTCACGTGAGAAAGTCAGAAATACCTCACCATATGGTGTCACTGCCATTGCTAGTTCCGATATTCTCCCAAATGAGAAGTTCAGGATACATAGGAAACTAGTATTTCCTTCATGAATTACTTGAAAAACATTTGAACTACAAAATTTCAGTTACCCCACAATCTATTACTTTAACAGCCTGCCTCAAAGTTAAAAATACCTGAACCATACCATAGTGCTAGTCTTCTTCTGATCCTCCAGTTATCATTACCCAAGCACATTTTTTTAAACACTAAGAACATCATATCAGACCATCACAAAAAAAGTATTTTAAACATACTCAAGTTTTTGACAAACTTTAAGTTTGAAAAAAATCCAATTCTAGCTACTGAAGCAGAAAAAAATATGTATTTGCATAATAATAACTTAAAAATTAACTTAAACTAGTACTAAAAATAACTAACTACAATCTTTGTAGTTAGTTAGTTACAAACGACAGACAAAGAAAAAAAAAAAAGGCAGCTCAATATTTGTGTTGTCAAATGGCCCTGTGAAAAAAAAAAAAAACAACAAAAAACCTGCACATAGAAACTACCATGACCCAAGGGAGATGTGTATTTACCTTATGCTGTCCTCCTCTTTTTATTATGGAATAATAATATGAAAAATACTTTTCAGTGGCGTATTACAGGTTCAAATAAATCTGTACAAGCAAATTCAAGACAATAATTTCTAAACTACATGGCATTTAAGGGCTAAATTGTTGACTGAGACTTCAACACACATTAAAAAGCTTCAATGAAATATCCTTAACCTGGGGAAAAGAAACGAACTGAGCACAAGACAGTATGAAGTGAAATGCAAGACTGACAATAAAAGGTAAGATGTATCACACCCATTTTAGTTCAGGCATAGACCTAGGTAAGGCTTTTATTAAAGCATGACTTTTGGACAAAATAAACCAGCCAACTGCTCGCATTGTTTCAAACCCACCACACTGCAGGCACTACCACAGTCATTCCAAAACTCTCTCAGGCTGCTTTCAAACACTTCCTTTCTTATTTTGCCAATGCCAGCCACATCAGATCACTGAAAACTTGGGATATGTTCTTAATTTCATAATTATCAATATAAAAGGTTCTAATTCACAGGCCAGCAGGTCTCAGCACCAGTTATGCACAATCACTATTCCTATGGCTCCATCTCTGCAGACACAGAACAAATGAAAACCCTTTGGCTCTCGGGTTCCTTCCAAAACCTAAGGAGCCTTAGAAGTGCACATCGTATTTGTACTTTTACAGAAGCAGCAGCGAGGTTTCAGAGGTTTCTCTGTGCACAGCTCTGACTCATGCTGGCAGGGGGGGTTTACACAGGCCACATACTTCCACATTTCGGCATCACAAAACAGGAGGGCATCTGCTGCATCCCTGATAACGTACATTACATGGCCACGTGTACTACAAGAAGTGGAAGCGAACTGTAAAAGAAGTAATTTTGGTGACTTGTAAAAATCAGTAATCAATAGCCTTTCTGTAGACCTTTATTGTCACATCACATTTGACAGACACAGCCACACTCTCTAGCTTCTGCGTTGGCAGAAGCAGGCACCACCTGAACAGGAGGAGCGCCAGGTGTTTGCGTTAGCACCGTAACGTACAGCGTCGGCAGCAGCCTCCACCGAGCCCTGCAGCCAACAGGCAGGCCGCGCAACGCCGCTCTCGGACTCCGGCTGTGGCTGTCGGGACGACCAGGCCCCGCACGCACCTCGTCCCGCACCGTTGCAGGGGGCAACCCACGCTCCACAGGCCGGGGACGCGGCTGACCTGCGGGCTCGGGACCTGCTTTCCCGCGATCGGGGGAGTCAACGGCCTCGGAGCCTCAGCTGCGGCAGGCCCCGAGGGGGACCCACTCGGGCTCGCCGGGGGCCGGGCCGAGGGAGGCGCCCACCTCCGCACGTCGCTCTGGCTGACGGCCGCTGCCCCGCCACCGCCTCCTACGCCTACTCCACGGCCGCCAACGGGGCGGCCTCCCCGGCCCCGCGCCGCCGCCCGAGGGGCGGAAGTAAGCAGAGCGGGTGCAGGCACACCCCGCACCACTGCCTTCACCCACCCCGGGACGCGGCCCCCACCGCCGCGGGGGAAGGGAACTTACGAACGCGCCCTTCTGCGTGCCTGCGTCACGCCTCCAAACGTCACAGGGACGACGCTGCCTGGCGTCACACCCCAAGGGAAGGCCGTGTACGCTGGGAAGCCTGAGCCCCTTCGGGCCTGCGCGCAGGCGCAGTGCCGCCGCTGGGTGTTGGCGGGAAGGTAGCCGGCGATGCTGAAGTGGTTGCACTTACGGCTACGTCCGGGCCTCAGCTCCTGCCGTCCCTGGGACACTGTGCTACATGGGTGACTCTCTGGGCACCCCTGTGCTGGGAGTGAGGCCCTCCCTTCCCAGCTAGTCATCAGCTCCCAGTCGGCCCTAGAAGAGACTAACCATGCTGCGGGTTAGGGGCAGTGTGACTGGGGATTGCAGGCAGGCAGGTAGGTTAGAAAAAGGAGTTTTTGGAAAGTACAGGAGTTCTGGGGCATGGATATGAGTGACCTGCAAGCACTGGGCCAGAGGTGAGCACCGCTGTCTGAACGTGAGCCGGCAGTGTGCCCAGGTGTATGTATGTCTCCTTTCCCAAGTTACAAGTGATAGGACAAGAGGAAATGGCTTCAAATTGCATGTGGGAGGCTTAAGTTGGATATTGGGAACAACTTCTTCCCCAAAAGTGTTGTAAAGTATTGGAACCATCTGCCCAGGGAAGTGATGGAGTCACCATCCCTGGAGGTATTTAAAAGATGTGTTGACGTGCTTAGGGACATGGTTTAGTGGTGGACTTGGCAGTGCTAGGTTATTGGGTGGACTCGATACTAAGGATCTTTTCCAACCTCAGTGATTCTATGAAAGAGGAAAAAATAAAGTGTGATATGGAATAATACAGGTTTTAAGGGAAGGCTGAAGGGCGAAACGAGTTAGGGAGTTGAGAAGGTGCAGAAGAATGAAGGCAAGTGTAAAATACATGAGTAAAAAGAAGGGAAACATAACATTCAGAAAATAAAAAAGCAAGCTCTCTTTTTCTTCTAACCATCTGAGAAGAAATTTTCTTGTGGAGAAGAAAATTACTTTGCCTGCATGACTTCAAGGATTATTGGGCATTGGGGCTGCCTCCTTTTTCAGTGTCATCCTGTGATGCAGGGCTGTCTCCATCTTCAAAACTTTTTTGTGTGTGTGCTCAGCCAGGACACTTATCTCCTGTAAGCCTGCACTTAGCACAGCTGTTATGTTGTGCCATAGCCTTTTGCTGGATAAAGGGGGTATCAGGGACCCTCCAGCCACTGCTGGAACAAAGAATCTGTGAGGCAGCCTTGGCACAGTGCCTGGAAAGTGGGAGCAAGGGAAAGGGGGGAAATGGGGTTTGGCGAAACATTTAATTCTGATGCTTTTTGCTATCGTGCTTACATTCATGAGCCTGCAGTGCTATAATGTCCGCAGGCACCAAAAATGGAAAAAAGGAAAGGGTCAGTGTTGGAGAATGTGCAAGGAATATGTAATTCCTTCCAATATCCACATTTCTCTATATGTACCTTATGCTGAAATTTGAACTGTGTAGGCTTACACAGTATGCTGACAATTAAAAATATATTTAAAATATATGTGCCATTTTCTGAAAATCTGTTTCTGCAGCTCCCTGCAGAGTTACATCTAAAGAAGCAGATATTCTGAGTCTTTGGCCCTGAAAACTGTTTTTCTAGCATAGGCAAACAATAAAAAGAAATTAAAAGGCTTTTTTGAACTCTGATTTCATTAAAATCTGACTTACATTAATTAGAATTAGTTATTTTGAACATAAAAACAACTTTATGAGTTCAGAAATTTCATCTCTGCAAATGGAATGTGTGGTGATAAAGTAGGCAGACTGGCTCAGAGCCATTTCAGAACCAAGGTACATTTATGATATGATACTGTTCTTCAGTCGTGGGTTCCACTTGGAGGTTCTGTATCTGAAATAACTGTTCTTGTGCTTTAGAAAATTTCATTTAAAAGTAATTTACAGTTTCAACAGGAACTGTTTAAAATAAATATACTTATTCTTCACCTTTCTGTGCTTACTAAAGCTGAACTGTTCTGTGGTTCAGAACCTATAAAATACAATGAATTTGAAGGTGAACGCTCCAAATGGTCTTAAATAATTATAATTCCCTTTTGAAGTCATACAAGTCTTGACTTTTGCTTAAGCAAAACTATTCCTAGACATCCTTGTCTCTAAATTGGAGAGACATCAATTTGATGGATGGACCACTCGGTGGATAAAGAACTGACTGGACGGCCGCACACAAAGAGTTGTGGTCAATGGCTCAGTGTCCAGGTGGAGATCAGTAACGAGTGGTGTCCCTCAGGGATCGGTGTTGGGACCGGTCTGGTTCAACATCTTTGTTGCTGACATGGACAGTGGGATTGAGTGCGCCCTCAGCAAATTTTCCGATGACACCGAGCTGTGTGGTTCGGTTGATACCGTGGAGGGAAGGAATGGCATCCAGAGGGACCTCGACATGCTTGTGAGGTGGGCTGATGCCAACCTCATGAAGTTTAACCATGCCAAGTGCAAGGTCCTACACCTGAGTCAGAGCAATGCCAGGCACAGCTACAGGTTGGGCAGAGAAGAGATTCAGAGCAGCCCTGTGGAGAAGGACTTGGGGTGTTGGTCGATGAGAAAATGAACATGGGCCGTCAGTGTGCTCTTGCAGCCCAGAAAGCCAGCCGTATCCTGGGCTGCATCAAAAGGAGCGTGACCAGCAGGTCAAAGGAGATGATCCTGCCCCTCTACTCTGCTCTTGTGAGACCTAACCTGGAGTATTGTGAGCAGTTCTGGTGTCCTCAACATAAAAAGGACATGGAACTGTTGGAACAAGTCCAGAGGAGGGCCACAAGGATGATCAGGGGACTGGAGCACCTCCCGTATGACGACAGGCTGAGGAAGTTGGGGCTGTTCATCCTGGAGAAGAGAAGGCTGCGTGGAGACCTCATAGCAGCCTTCCAGTATCTGAAGGGGGCTATAGGGATGCTGGAGAGGGACTCTTCATTAGAGACTGTAGTGATAGGACAAGGGGTAACAGGTTAAAACTTAAACAGGGGAAGTTTAGATTGGATATAAGGAGGAAATTCTTTCCTGTTAGGGTGGTGAGGGACTGGAATGGGTTGCCCAGGGAAATTGTGAATGCTCCATCCCTGGCAGTGTTCAAGACCAGGTTGGACGAGGCCTTGGGTGATATGATTTAGCGTAAGGTGTCCCTGCCCACGGCAGGGGGGTTGGAACTAGATGATCTTAAGGTCCTTTCCAACCCTAACTATTCTATGATTCAGTATGTA